GCCCTTAGCTTCGGCTGGAGGCCAGAGGCAGCGCAGGCTGTGAGCAGGGGCTGAGTTGGCGGCGGCGTCCGGGCAGCGTGGGGCTGGCGGGGGCCCTGCCCGCCTGCACGTCCAGGCATCCGGGCTGCTCTCTCCCCACGGCTGCTGGTGCTGCCTGGAGCCCTGCGAGGGAAGAGGGCAGCCTGGCCTGTGGAGGAGGGATGGACCGAGGAGGGCGGGCGGCAGGGAGAGGGGGATGCGAGGGAGAGAACTGGAACCACTTTAACCTTCACATTCTCCTCCTTGACAGGGCCGGGCATCCAAGAAGCAGCAGCCCCCGTTTCTGGTGTCATCGTGGGGGGCCACCTTGGCTTTTAGGGTATTTATTTTCTTATTCGTTTGCTTTGATGGCGGGGGCGGGGGGGGGGCGGAGCTGGCCCTGCATCCCGCATCCCCTCCGTGTTCTCCTGTTCTCCCCACCCTGCCTCTTCTAGCTCTGGGGCCCTGACTGTGCTCCCCTCTGATGGTAGGAAGACCTGTGGAGCCATTGGTGGTGGGAACGAGAGAGCCCCCGCACCCAGCTCTGTGAGAGGGAGGAGAGGCACTGGGGCGTCAGGGGACTCTTCCTCTTCTCTCAGACATTCCCGAGGGCTGGGCGGCAGCGGCTGACCCCGGGAGACAGGCGGGTGGCTGCAGAGCGGGGCGGGGATGGCGGTACCTGGGCCACAGAGGTGAGAAAGGAGAGCAGTGTGGGGCGTGGGGAGCAGGGGTGTGGGAGGCACGCACGCCCTGAGGGTGTATGCGGGCCGAGCCCCTGGGAGCGTCGGAGGCTCTGGCCGGGAGTGCCGTGGACACAGATGGTGACATTTGTCTTGCTGCGTAGGGTCATGTCTGCACGCGGGTGTGCATGCTCAGCACCCTTGCCCACCCGTGCGTTTGCCCCCAAGGAGGCCACTTGCTGAGGGCGGGCCCTCTCCCGTCTCCGTCGTCACCTTGTCCTCACCTCCCCGACTCCACAGGGCTCTGAGGCAGGCGCTCAGCTCAGCTACGGATCTAAGAACTGGGAGCGGCCAGGGAGGCAGTGATCGGCGAGGCCCAAGGAATTCTCAGGCTGGCCTCTCGACAGGAGAAAACCACCCTCATGGGGAGGGAAGGGTGGCATCCCCGGGGACAAAATCTTCCATGTTGTCCCCATGCCCTCTAACCTCCTCTGCCCCTATGGAGATAGATTTGTTTTGTCACCGCTGCAGCATTTTTTTTTTTTTTTGCCAATTCTTGCTTTTATGTGTCACTATCCCACAGACAATGCAAATATTCTATAGCAAAAGAATAATGTGTGATAATGTTCATAATAATGATGCACTTAGAAGGCAGAAATAAATACCTGAACCCACCTTCTTCCAAATGCAGCTTTCATCTGTATTATCTTCAAGGCAAATTAATCCGATAATTGAAACAAAGAAAAAATATGCCTTTTATTTAATTACCTGAATGTTTCAAGAGAGTGGCCTAATGCCAAAATGTATTTTGGACCCAAATTATAAAAATCTGTCCAAAAGCTGCATCCAGAGAGCCTCATTCAGGCCATGTTTTTCTATACATGGGCCTCTTCAGGCACAGACAATGGTGGGCATCAGGACCAGAGGGATGCGGGTGGGGACAGGCACGGGCAAAGAAGGCAGGCTCTGAGCTAATGAAGACACTTGCAGACTCAGATCTATACTGGGGACTTGGGGGGCTCTCCCCAAGGTACCCCAGAATTTCCCTGGAAGGACTCGGGGTGGGGTCTGCAGGCCATGGCTCTATAGAACACCGACCTCAGCCCAGAGTACTGGGGGCTCCAGCGGAGGCCTTCCTGGGGAGACTGAGGCTGGCAGGCCAAGCACAGGGGGGACCTAATGCACCCATTTTGCTCCAGCTGGCAGCCTCTCTCTGGCCTGCTGTTTCCAATTCTAGATAGTGGAAGGGTCTCTTGTGGTCAAAGGAACTGCCGAATAGTCACTAACACGCAGCGCAGTCGCTACGCCTCTCCCCTCCCCTCCCATGCAGGACCCACACTTGGTCAACACCCTCCCTCTCCACCCATTCGCGCTCAGCGCACATGAGGGCAAACTCAGCGGGGCACGCACATACCCTTGTTAACCCACTCTTTCCTGGGCACCCACCTTGTTTTCAGTGTAGTATTAGATCCCCTAGGCCCCAGTATGTGATGCTGCCTCTGCCCTGGAGAGCTGTCCCCTTTGCTCCCCTCCACGCACTCTCCTTCTGGAAACCAAAGTAGCATGGCCTCATCTACAAAGCAAGCCCAGTTAAGGTGCTGGTGGGGAGTTTTCTGCTTCTTTCCTGGCTTAATCCTCCACGCCCATAGGAATGGAGACAGAGGCCCCACTCACCTCCATCCCTGAGCAGGAGCCCTGGGAGGTCAGGTTGTCAAGTCTGCCCAGACAAAACCAACAAAAAATGGCTTCATCCGGAATCTGGCTAGAGAGGGTGATTGCAAAGTAAACTCACCTCCAGTTTCTGCTGCAGGGGCCTCCTTACCTTTGGACACTGGACACTGCTTAGGCTCAGGAAGCTCTGTAGCGCCCAAAGCTGCAACAAGAAGCAGGGGACCCAGCTCCTTATCTAGCTATTTGCGGGGGCGGGGGGGGTGGATTTTGGAAATGTACCCATTTCTTTCCAGACCCCAGTTTTTGAGAAGGTCCAGCTGAGTCTGATTTTGGCCCATAGGGGTGGGAGTGTCTCCACTGGGCAAAGAAGCCTTTCTGTGTCTAACCCTCCCCAGCAAAAATACAGCAGGGGCTGAAAGGGGAGGAAGGTTCACGCTGGTCCCCACTGCCTCTCCCTGTGCTCACTGGGTGGCTCCAGGGTCAGGGGTTGTGGAGATGAGCTTGGGCCCACTGAGAGTAGGGGACTTGGCTGGGATTGGTGACGGAAGAAAGCGGAGGGTATTGGCTAGCAGGACAGGCCAGCTCTTCCCCCCCTGCTGGCCCCAGCCTCCCAGGCGCTGGGTGAGGGGGAGGAAGGAGGGGGCAAAAGTGCCCTTCAGGTGCTTTAAAGGGATCGTGTGGGGGGCAAATGGGGGAATATTTGTAGGGGAAGTTGGTGGTGTGTGTGGAGAAGTATAGGCCCTATCTAGGGTTGCTGGAATGTCTGCAGGGTGTTGGGTTTCTTATAAAGAGGGACAAAATCGAGTACCTGGAATTATTTGAGGAGGTTTGTAGGCAGGAAGCTGAAAGGCTGGAGGGGCCTATCATTTCTCCCGGGCCTGGTATGGAGGGTGCCTTTAGATAATGCATTTAGCAGCGTGCCGGTAGGGTAAGCCTGTCTGTGAGAGTGTTTGGGGAGGATTCCACTTTTCTGCATCTGAACTGGGGCAACAGAGACCCCAGTGCTCCCCCAGTGCTCCGTTCTGAGCTGTAGGGGCGGGAGGGGCAGGAACAAAGTAGGCAGCGGACACTTTGTCTCTTTCCTTCCTTCCCTACAGCCTCGGCTGGTGTGCTCCCAGCTCTGAGAGGGTAAAGAATGGATGCTGTGGAAGCTTCTAGAAAGCCTTTCCCTTGGGTAAAGGTCCTGAGACCCTCTGGAAGCTGACAGAGGGGGGCGGGAGCTGTGCCTAGCACAGCCCTGAGAAGACCCTGAGACTGGGGAAGCCAGGCTCCATACTGCTATTCTCCTGGGGAAATGCAGGCCCCAGGACTTTGTCCTATTTCAAAGTGTCCCCCACCTCACAATAGTGTAGCAACTATTCAGACATTCTCCAGTCTTTAAGGGGGTGCATAAAATGAAACCCATTGGCCATGGGCTTGCATCTAACCAGGGGAAAGAGCATCCAGGTTCGGCTTTGTCCTAGAAGGTGCAGAGAGGCGACCCCCCCCCCAAGTGGATAAAACAGTCTGGCTGGGCCTGCTGGCAACTGAGGGGCGCACCTCTGTTGGCACAGTGTTCGAGGATCCCAGGTGATAGGAATCGGCCGGTATTAAGCAGGCACCCAGGCTCTAGGTATCTAGGTTGTAGGATTTTTCAGAAAAGGGGCTGAGAGTAGGGCGGTTGGAGGGACGGGGTACCTGGGGACTGGGGACTGCTCCCTGGCAGACACTGAGGCTCAGCCAGGGGCCCACAGCTCTCTCTGGGAGAGCGCCGCCAGGCAGCGAGAATCCGAATCCCGCTTGCGGGGCGGCGCGAGCTGCCGGGGTTGGGAAGCGGCATTACTGGACTCTTGATTCTCCGGGCAGTTGGGGAGCCAGGTCAGGAAAGCCCGGAACTGAAAACCTTGCTGAGAGCGATCCTTCTCCCTCTGAGCCCAGCTCTCCAGCGTCACTGGAGATGGAGCCGGGGTGGAGGCGCGCGGGGCTGGCCTCCGGGGCTGAGTGGAATGTGCGGATACCGCCCAGGTTAATTCCAGCTGAGATCCATCAGCCTCCCCACCCCCAACCTTGGTGTAGGGAGCAGGGTCAAGAGATACTCCCGTCCCTGCTCCGCAACTAGGGAGGCCCAGCCTCGATCGGACCCCGCGTCTCCCAGTAGGAGTCCCTAACTTCCAGAATCTTTCCCTCACTGTTTTGGGTTGGAAACCAACAAGAGCGAGATTCCCGCCCATCCTAAAAGGTTAGGATCCCAGTCTGGAAGGGATCAGAACACGACAAGCACAAAGAATATCCTGAGGAGAGGAGGCAGGTAGGGGCAGAATCTCGTTATCTGATTCTTTTTGATATCTCTGAGTCCCCCCCCGCCCCCCGTACCCTGGCGCAACATACCTAGGGCCCAAATGGAAAATGTAGGGCCTACAAAGAGTGAGGATGGAGATTAAAACCACAAATGGCAATGGCGGGAGACGGCAGGCGAGCCTCGGGGTGGGCGAGGCAGCAGGAGGCTGGGGGTCAGCACACAGACCTGGTAGTTCCTCCCCAACCCCGCTCCTGGGGGGGAGGGGCGCCCCAATTGCGCGCTCCAGCTCTTCCCTGGAAGGGGAGGGGCGGGCCGGCGGGGAGAGGAGGCGGTGACGTCAGACTTGGCGGAGCCAATCGGAGGCTGGCCTGGGGAGGGAGCGTGAAAGGATGAATGAAAAGTCCGGAGCCGGAGCGCGCCCGGGCCAGAGCGGCGGCCGCGGCGGAGGAGGGAGCTGGGGAGGCGAGGCCCGCTCGGCCCCGCTCACCGCGGCTCGGCGGAGGCTGAGATCCGCGCTGAGCCCTGGCACCGCAGACCCCGGGCCACGGCTCTCCGTAGCGGGAGCGCGCCGGGAGGACCGCGCTGGAGAGCACGATGGGCGCCCTGGGCTCGATGTAAGTGGCCTGGCCGGCTCGGGGCAGCAGGTGGGCGAGCGCCTCGGCGTCCAGCGTGCCTGCGCGTCCGCCCGGAGGGGCCGACCGAGACCCTCCTCCGGGCTGCCGGGACCTCCGTGTCGACTCCCGTTTCCGATCGGAATCCCCGCCGAGCCCTAGGGCCCCTCTCGCTTCGGACCCCCGACCATTTTCACAGCCTTGGGTGCTTTGTGGACCTCTTTGTACAAAGCCGTTTCTCTGGGGGTCCCGCGGGGCCTGGGACTCGCCTCACCTGCACCGCCCGCCCCATCTCGTGGGGGGTCTCCCGGAACCCCTCCCGGGTGGGGTCTTCGCCCTCTCCTTCTCTCCCCGAGACGCGCCGGGGAGGCCCTGGGGCGCCCACCCCGCACCGGCTTGCCTCCCTCCGGGTTGCCAGGATTTCCTGTTCCCTGCCAGGACGCCGCCGGGGGTTTCCCCCCACGATTCGCTGCTCGCCCCCGGCTTTAGTCAGCGCCCTTGTTCCAGCCCTTCGCGAGCCGGGGGTCCCCGCGGCTCCCACGCAGAGGCTTGGGCTGTCGGGCGCGCCCTGCAGCTTCCAGAGGAGGGCGGTGGGGACCCCGTGGGGCTGTCGAGGCCTCCGCCGCCGTCCCTGCGGTCGTCCCGGGTGGCGCGAAAAGCCCGCGAGTCCCTCTTCCTGCGGAAGGACCCGCGGAGCTCCCGCTTCTGGCTCAGATGGGAGCGGGAATCGAGGCGCTCGAAGCTCCTGGGGCCCGGGAGCGATCCCTGGACCTCGACGCCGCCGGCCTTCGCGTCCTTCCCACGCCCTTTTCGGTCTCTGTGGTGTCTGTGTCCTGTACTCGGGGTCCCTTTCCGTCTTGGACCCCGTTTCTCTCTCCGCCCCCACCTCCACCCCTGTGCCCTCTCCCACCTCCACCGGCGGGCGGCCGGGGGCGGCGGCGGCAGCGGCGGCGGCGGCCGGGAGGCTGCGTGGAAGAGGCGGCGGCGGCAGCCAGGAGGCGGGGTTGGTTGTTATCTTTGGTTATCTAGCTGTATGAGTGGTGTGGAGTCTTCATAAAGCTAGATAACCGAAAGTAAAAATAACCCCATACACTGCGCAGAGGGCCCCGGGAAAGCCGGCCGCATGGGCGGGCGGGGGAGGCATACACGAGGGGCTGGGGGCGCGCGGACCCCAGGGCCGCGCGGGCGAGAAGAGATGCCGGTGGCCCGCGGGCCTCAAGACCGAACCCCAACCCGGGTCCAGGCAGGTAGGAGGCGCCGCCCGGGCTCACGGTAGCCAGGTGCTCCCCATGAGCTGGGAGGAGGCGAGAAAGGGGAAGGGTGGTGGTTCCCCCTCAGGATGGGGCCTTTCCGGGCAGAATGCGGAGTGGGCCACTGCGGGGGAAGCTGCTCCGAGGCAGAGATCCGTTGAAATCTAGTTGCAGGGTTATTTGGGACAGTGCCTAGGGCTCCCGGCCCAGGCGTCTCCCGTGGGCGCTGGTGAACAGCTTCCCGCAGGCTCTGCACAGTTCTTGCTGGGGTGAGGCTTTGGGGGAGTACCTCCCCGCCCCCAGACCTCCTCTCAAAGAGAAAAGGAAAGAGCAAAGACCCCACCTGGGGTTTTTGCTTTCATCCGCTCCCTGAAGCCCTGTAGGTCTGCCCAGCTGAGCTGGAGCTGAGAATGAGAGTGGAGACAAGTGGGGGTAGACCTGGAGACACAGGCTGGGTTCTGGGGCAGGGGCGTGCAGAGTGTTTCTCAGCTCCCTTGTTCCATATTCTTTCCTCTTTCTGCTCAAGACCTCAGTCTGATGTCTTGAAAAGCTACTCATGGAAGCTCTGTCTTCACTGACCAGATGGGCTGAGTTGGGGTCTTTCAAGACACCTTACCTACTATCCCATCCTCACTCTCTTAGAAATCATCTCCAAGAGCAAATGGCCTCAAGGAGCTCAAACACAAAGGAATTTGTAGCTTAGTACTTATGCTGCCCAGAGAAAGCAAAGAATTAGAGAGATTAATCAGGGCCTTTCCTAAAAGAATCCGTTTATCTGGCCTGACCTAAATATTTTAAGCAAAAGTGTTTCGGTGCAGTTGGGAGAAGGATGGTCCAGAGTCACTTGGTAAAATAAAAGTAAATGTAACAAAGCTAGAGGTAGCCCCGCTGCATTTACTCCCTCTCCCCGTTCCCTCCCCCACCACCTGGCTGGCAGTCCAGAGTGCAGGGAGAAAAAAAGGGCGGGACAGCTGGACAAAATGACCTTGTACAGACTCCAGTTCCCTGTGTAAATTTACAGTTTCCTCCAGGAACTGATTTTTACAGCGAGGAGATTATGATTCAATTATATATTATGTGGGAGAAATATTGGGGAATCCAAACTAAAACAGTCAGGCTTCAGAGAGCCTAGAGCATACACGTTTCCTCCCTTCGGAGGTTTGAAGGAAGGAGAGATTAGCTGCCTCTCACTTTTTTCAGCTGTTCGGAATTTGGTATTTTTGGAGGGGGGCAGTGGAGACAGGATTAGGAAGAAAGGGAGCAGGTTTGGGCAGGGACTAAGAATCCCTAACACCGTACCCCCTGGTAACAGCCTCTGTCTACGTGCTTCTCTTTGATCCTCTGACACTGGGAAGTGGCTGCTATTAACCCCATTTTACAGATGAGGAACCACAGACCCCAGTGGGAAGCTAATGCCCCTGACTAGTTTCAAACCTCGGGGGAAGGACTAGAGGGTAAGGTGGGGAGACTAAGATGTGGATGAAGGATGAGTGAGAAGGGAGGGGATGGGGCATCGGGGAAAGGTAAGGTCCAGGAGAGATGAGAGCCTTAGGCCTGGTTGTGATCCGAGGAGGAGGAGGAGGGGGAGGAGGAGGAGGAGAAGCACCAAGAAAGACAGGCTTTTTTTTTAAGATTTTATTTATTTATTTGACAGTGAAAAGGAACACAAGCAGGGGGGTGGCTGGAGAGGCTGAGCAGGGAGCCTGATGATGCAGGGTGGGCTCCATTCCGGGCCCGGGATCATGACCTGAGCCAAGGCAGATGCTTAACTGACTGAACCACACAGGCGCCCTCCCATTTTTTTGTTTGTTTGTTTGTTTTAACTCTTCATGCAGCTTGTTGGAAATGCATGTTTGGGATCTGCTGAGACTCATCCACATAAGACTTAGAACTTATATTTTAACCACAGTGGGTTTATATTGTTATTGTGGGGCCCCATGAGCACATCTGACCGCTGGGTCTCCCAAGGAGACTAGAGGGCCTGAGGAAGCGCTGGGTGGAGGGCTTACACCCTACACAGAACAAATACCTCCGGGGGGGGGGGGGGTAGAGGCCGGGAGGGATGTGGGCGGGGGGGGGGGGTGCTGCCTTCTGTGTACGCGGCCGGTGAGCGTGGGCGTGTGGGCAGGGCTGTCAGGAGAACGATGGAAGCCTGTGCTGGGAGCTGTCTGTGTCTGCTCGCGAGGGTGAGAAACTGAGTGACCCGACGTGACGCTGGACATGTGTGTGTGTGATGGATCCACGGTGGGCAGGAGGCCTGGCTGTCTGATCAGGGATGCCTGACTAGGCATAACTGTAAATCCAGTAGAGGAACAGACACTCTGGGGTTGGGGAGGGTTTACCAAATGCAGACATCACAGTGATACCATTGAGTCCTGCCACCCGCCTCCCCCAACTTTTATTCCGGATGACACCTCCTCCAGCTGAGCCCACTAGGCAAACTGATAGGGTAGGGGTGCAGGGAGGCTGGCTTGAAGGGGCTCGCAAGGGCTTCACCCATTACCAGTTAGTGAATTTCTGGCTTGGTATCATCACACCTCTGTGTTCACGAGTTTTTAGTTTTATTCTTCTGATCTTGCGACATCCACCTATTTCTACTCGGATGGTTTCTAAGCTGGTTTCTTCACCCATTTTCCTCCCTCGCCCTCATTCCAGTGCCTTCCTATTGGATTCTGAGTCTAGGGGCTCAAAGGCAATTTTCTCCAAAATATCTGACTCAAGTTTTGATTATCACTCACACCCTCACCCTGGGTCAGATTTTCCCCAATTCAGGGCATTGAAAGGTTTCCCCAGTCATAAACATCGTCACCGTCAGCAAGCCTGGGGAGGGACAGAAATGCAAAGAGCATATGTGACTGGACCAAGGTTTGTACTTGGGTGTATCACTTACCAGCTGCAACATCTCTGAGCCTCAGCAGGATGTTTATATAAAGAAGAGACGAATGTATGCCCCCAGGTTTGTTACATGGAGCAAACAAAGACTTCTATGTAAAAGATCTTGTAATATGTTATCATATCCATGGGCAAAGAGTCATTTTTTTGCTACAGTTCAGAACAATGATCTGAAAGCATATGATCGATCTCAGAATGCAGAAAAGGACAGCTCTTTGGTATGTTCTTGACTGAGGATCTCAACACATTTCAACTTGAGGAAGTTCCTTCCTTCTTTTCCAGCTTTGGAGTAGAGGAGGGACTGCTGGGGACCTGGGTAGGCAGTGTCTGAAGGCTGGTGAGAGGACGAACAGCCCATTCAGGGAAGAGCCTAGAGTCCTTGGGGCAGAAGGGCCATCGTATTTTCTCTTCTGAAAAGATCTTATCACCTATTGGTAGAGTACTTACGATTGGTAAACTGACTTATGTAGATAGAGAAATACAGCATGAGTAGATGATAATTCCAAGCTTATTCCATTAAGTTTCTAGAATTACTAAAAACACAGTTTATTTAGGTAAAGGACCCAGTAGGCAGTGGGTATAATAAACAGACCAAATGGAGACCTGCCTATCAGCGTGCAGACTTTTCTTCAGCACGGAGCAACTTTAAGAAGGGGTGTTTTCTCTCCTCTTGCCTCCCAACCTCCCACCTCCCTGACTGCCAAATCAATTCCCCAGGTTAGTAACCCGCCAGAGAAACACAGGCCCCTCTGTGTTCTTCTGGGTCTAGAAGTCCTACTTGAAGTCTGCCCTTCCCAGGGTTTGGGAACTGGAATATTCTGATACTTATTTCTTCACCTCATTCCCACCTTAATGCTCTGGGTACAGATTGACCTTTTCACCTTCTTTCCTTCCTTTGCTATCGAGACCTCAGAGATCTTGGGGGGTTATGGCACGATCTCATCCAGAGGCAGGGTGTGCCAACTTCCCTAGGAGAAAAATGCATTTAGGTTAATGCTTTAAAATCATTGAAAGGAAGTAGACAAAACTATGAAAACATTCTCAGAGCTTTGAGGAAAATGAGAAGCAGGGTTATGGAAGGTAAAGGTGCGTAGGTGCATATTTAGATAGGAGAGAGGTGAGAGAAAAGGGGAACCCTTCCTTGCCACCCAGGCTCTCCCAAGGCTCAGAGTGACACCCCCCTCCTCCTGCCCTAATCCCCCCATTAAGGCTGCTCTCAGTTTGTTATGACAGCGGCTGAAGGCAGCTGAATTGCTGTTTGCCGTGTCTGCTAATTGGACTGAAGGGTTGGAATCTGGACACTGAAAGAGACCATTGTTGCTGTTTACCTTCTACAACTGCCTCCCTGGGGACCTTCTGGGTGAAGGGGAGCAGCATGCCCTCAGGGTTACTGCACCCATGCCCTGTCTCTGCACAAGGGACTGCGCTGGGGAGACAGTTCATCTCATTGCCTGATGTCATTGGGATGGTTTGAGCTTCCACAGCACAGAAGAGACAAGCCCAACACCTGAGTCAGTCTCCCATCCAGATGGGGTCTGGGGCCACCAAGAGTTCCCAGGAGAGGGAAGTTAGATGCTTGTCCTTCTCTTCCCTATTCATTCCCTACTTCTTCAGGGGCCCTAGCTTTGTCTCTTCCTCTGGCTGATCAGGCTTAACCCCTGTACTTTTTCTTAGGTGCTTTCTTCCAGGCCAGTGATTCTTGACTTGGTTATGCACTGAAATCACCTGGGGAGCTTTAAAAAAAATACTGATGTTTGGGTCTAGTTCCAGACTGATGAAATCAGAGTATCTAGGAAAGTTCTCTGGGTATTTCTAATGTGCAGCTAGGGTTAAAAACCACTGAGGCTGGCTTACCCTTCTGCCTGGGACACACACACACACACACACACACACACACACACACACACACAGAGGCAGCCAGGCAGACCTGTGCCCTTTCTTACCTTCCCTACTTTTCCTCTCCAGCTCTCCGTATCTGTAATACTGTTGGGCACCTGAGTATCTGTCTCATCTTTATTACTAAATTCCTTGTGGGAACCGTAGAATTTAGGGTGGAATGTAGAGGTGTGCACCCCATCAACTACCTCAACCTGAGCTCTTCCCCAAGGGCAGGAACTATGACTCTATCTCCCTGTGGATTTCCAAACAGGGTCCAGATGAAGACTGAGCTAATCTAGGGCTCTTACATCCTTAGGGATGGAGGGGTGTGAGGTTCAGAGTTGCACTGACTCTTGGGCTCTTCCTCCCCCCCAAGTCCTTTTGGCAATTGGGATATCTTCAGAGAGGAGAAACTTTCTTCTGCGTTATCTGCCCCTTTGCTTACAAGTTTCCAAAATGTTTCTGCTTCTTCTCTTCCCTTTAGCTTCTCACCTGGGGCGGGTGGGTGCGCCACCACCCTCCCGCCCTCTTTCCTCCACGCGTGAGCCAGAGCCGCATCCAGCACCACGGACAGCTCCCGGGTGGTGAGTAAGCCGGCCGTGCAGGCCCCCTCTGGGAGGGTGAGGAGGGGGTCCTTCTATCTGTCTCTAGATTGTGTAATCTGTGGGATTTGTTTGTGGGCAGCTGTGGAGTCTTGAGAAGAGGAAAAGGCTGAGGGCAGTTGGCATTGCATCTTCAGGAAACCGCATTTGTCCTCTTTGGCGAGTCTGAGTGAGGGGCCGCTGCTGCAGCAGGAAGGATGAGAGTTAGATTTCAGGAAGGATTTAACTGAAGCTCTTGTGAGATCAGGTAGAGCTAGAATAAGCCTCCGCCCTATATCCCTCATTTTACAGATTCCTAAGAGAGTGGAGGAGTTATGACCAAGGTCACTCAGCGAGGTAGTGGAAATGCCAAGATGAAGCCTCCTGAACTCCAGCCTGGTCCTGCCCACCGTGTCTGATATATCCTGTGGGGGCCTCCCTGCCTTTGTTGGGATGCTGATGCTGGTAGAGAATGTTCACAGGTTGTCCTTGCACAAAAAAAGACAGGAGGCACGCGTGGACATGTGAGGTGTCCACACAAGCCAGGAAGAGGTGGGACCAACTTCTCCCTCTGTCCGTGGAGGTTTGGGGGGGAGGCCTCGGACAGAAGCACAGGGGAAGGCATACCAAGCAGTAGCTGGTAAGCCCATGGGAGAAAAGGCAAGGGGGCAACCATCTGCCAGGGCACAGAGGCCAGCGGATGGCCACAAGGAGTCTCCAGAGGCCAGCAAGAGTCACGCAAACTGGAACAGGGCCTGGGAAAGGCCCTTCTGTGTGCCCAGGCCTGCTTCTCCAACACCGGGAGCCCAGAAACAAAGGGGCCATTCTCTCTAGGATGTGATGCCGCCATCTCCGGCTGGCAGTGCCAGGTGGTGGGGGCATCAGGGGGTGTCAACCTATTATCTCCCCCCCCAACTCTTAGGTCCTCTGGGGCTGGATGTTGGAGAGGTGGGTGTTCCATGCTATGTTGCCATGGCAACCGCCCCAACCCCCACCTTCCTAAGCACAAAGAGAGACAGCTTTCACCCCCACCCCCAGGAAGAACCTGGGTCTGGTTGGGAATCTTCCCTTGGGAATCCTCCTTTCTGATGCACACGCCTTGGCATGCATGAGCATCACGCTCTTTTCAGCCCTGGAGCCGAGCTGTACAGGCAGAGAGGCTGGTGCATCCAGAGACTCTGGGAAGGTTGTGCAAGTGAGCAGGACTCCCTTGTACTTAACCCTCTCCCCTCAAGCTCTCCTGTCCCTCACCTACAGCCCAGGCCATCCTGGGCCTTCTCAGCTCAGGTGACAGAGGCCTTGACCTTCTAGTATTTCCCAGAAGTGAGGGACACCCTGCTACCCCCAGCAAGCCTCCAGGCTGTGGGAACAGGAGAAGAGGAGGGGGTCATTTCTGCCACCCTCCATCTGCACCCTCCGCCATTACTCATTAGGCATTCTGCCCCCTCCTTCCGCTCGTTAAGCCTGATTTGCATATATTTGCATAATACAACTCATTTGCATTCCAGGAGGCTCATGGTAGGAGCCAGGAAAAAAGGGGAGGGGTTGGGGAAGAGAGAAAAGGGGAGAGATTTTGTTTTCATCAAAGTGTGTGTGGGGGGGAGGTGGCAGGAAGAGGACAGAAATAAAAACTCACACTACTTTCTTTCTTCCCTTCTGCCGTCCCTCCCTGAGCTGGACTCAGATGCCAAAGAGAGATGCCAAGGGGCCGGCTTTTCTGTCCTTTTTTGTCTTGCTTCCTCCGGGTTTGGCTCCCCAGCCTGGCCCCCCACCTTGTTGGGCTCAGGCTTCAGAAAGAGAGAGACAGGGGTAGGAGGCAATGCTGTGGGAACGGAAGCAGAGGGAGAGGGAGGCCGCCATCTTAGGCAGCTAGAGCCCCTAAGATGTCCACCTTTGACAGGTGGATGGACATGGTGGGGGGGACGGGGGTGAGGCCACAGGAAGCACTTGGCTGGCTGACCAGAATGTGGTTGAGTGTTCCTGCTCCTGGAATTGGGAAGAGAGGATGGGAGAGAGGGAAGGCAGGAGAGATGAGGCATGGCAACCCCAGAGGGGCATGAGCTTGGCATAGGCGCAGGGCTGGTAGAGAGGCCTCCCGTTTCCTTCCAGACCCCTGGTGAGCCCGGCAGTCAGAGGACCTGGCCGAGGATCTGATGGACTGTGGGTAATGTAAAAACCCTGGAGGGGTCAAACTGGGCATCTCAGCAGGAGGAAGGAGAGGGCAAGTGGTGGGTAGGCAGGACCACCTGCCAGGCTGCTGTGTACCTGAGGTGAAGCTTTGAGTCTTCTCTGCCCACTGTCCCCGCTCAGGCTGGGCGACCCCTACAGAGCATTTCCTGCTGGCATCATCCTGTCTGCTCCCGTGGCCTCTGGCTGTCCTGTTACATCCTTGCTTATGCGTTCTGGCTTCTGCTCATTCGGTCCTCCGTCCGGGTTGGCCAGGTCTCCATTATGAGTGCTCCCCAGGGTTCTGCAGCCCTGCTAGTGTATCCCATCAGCCATCGTGGGGTTCCAGATGCTCTCCCACTTCGCTCATTCTGGCCTCTGTGAACTCCAGATCCATTCCCCTACCTGCTCTCTGTGCTCCCGCCCTTAGCTCCCGGGGCAGAGGTTGGAGGGGTGCACCTGCATCATGGATGCCCAGGCCCGAGCTGCAAGGAGGGCCGGGAGGGCTCCCCTGCTTGCCGCTCCCCAGACGTGGTCCAGAGTCCAGATGCTCACAGGTTCAGCCCTGCTTACGGTCTGGCCGGGCTCCTGCCCCCACCAAACTCCTAGGCCCTCAGGTCCCATCGGGAGCAGGCCCTCCCCCTCCACACCACCCACACCAGGACCCATCTCCCCCTTTGTAGTGCCCCTCACACCCACACCTTCCTCTCCCTTCACTCTGCCTCCACGTCCGCTCATTCCATCAACAGGCATTTACTGTGTGCTTGTTATGTGCCGGGGTCGTGCCAAAGACGAAGGTGGGACCCAGGGCTGGTCTGAGGAGCTAATGGTCCGGCAGGGAGGGCAGACACACAGGATTCACAGGACGGGGAAGACTGGGCTGGTGCTGCAGTTAGGGAGGGCCTCCTGGAGGGGCCAGAGGCGAGGTGGTGACATGGGGGGGTGAAGGTGATAAAAGGTAGACAGAGTGTCATCAAGTCCAAAGTCTGAGGAAGTGGGTGGTGGAGAGTAGACAGGCAGGGTCGGGGCTGTCCGTTAGGGGGACTCTGGGCCAGGAGGAGATGGGACATGGACCCCACCAGGGAGGCTGGATGTGACGGGGTGCTGGGGAGTTAGCTGACAGCCTCAGAGATGCTGGGAGCGGGGGTACAGCTGAGGGGCAGCACATGACCACTCCCAGAAGGAAGCAGGACATGCATCCAGCTGCCTACTCAGCCCAGTGCCCAGCTGGATGTTTCACAAGCTCCTGGTTAGGTCTGCGAATGAAGGAACATGTTTAGGCCTGGGAGCCACCTGAGGAAGGGTCTCTGCCTCTACCCCCGGCCTCGCCCCACCATCCACATGCACATGGGTAGGCTTGTGGGAGCTCTCTGGGAAGAGAGGTGGAGAAGCCAGGGTTGGTGCCCAGCAGCGGTGCCCCAAGGTCAGCAAAGAAGACGGGCAGCTGGGGACTGGAGTGAAGAGCAGAGAAGACACTGGGTCCTGGGAAATCCCTGGCAGAGGGGGTGAGGGACAGGGTGGGTTGTAGGGGGTGGGCCAGGGCTCTGAGGGGATCCCTCCTGGAGAAAGGCTGTGGGAGGCTGGGGAGGCAGCTGTGGAGGTGAGGCACTGCTGCTGGCCACTGCGGGGGAAGGGAAGTAGGGGTGCGGCCCCACCCTTCCCCCAGGCCCAGCCTCAGCCTCTGCACAAAGGCTTCTCTGTGAGTGGCCATGGAAGGGGCCCTGTCAGGTGAGGGGGCTTAGCTCCCAGAGCCCACGGGTGGGGGAGGGTGCAAGGGTGTTGGAGGAGGGGAGGACTGAGGGGTAGCTCAAGCTTTAACCAGACCCGGGAAGGAAATGGAGAAGCTGAGATCTGGCCAGGCTCTCACAGTGACAGGCTCAGGACAGGCTCCTCTCCAGGGTCCCCGCATGGAGGCCTTGCTGCTGGCCTTCTTCCCCGCTGCAGCTCCCCATCCTGCCAGCCCCCCCAGCCTCCCTTCCCCAAGCCATAGCTTCCCTTCCGTGGTGCTCCCCAGCTCCTGCACAGGGACCCCCCCCCCCAGGGAGGGTTGTGTGGGGAGGGTGGAAAGAAGAGAGTCCCGAGGCTGCCTGAGACTCCACCCAGTCTTGCCGTCCCTGGGGGAGGTTTCTCTCCTTGCCTGGTCTCCGTGTCACTTATTGCTGACCAGCAGCATGGATAGACCGTCCCTACCACCCCTGCCTCATTGTGCACACCATTCCTTCTCATAAATGTTTGGGTTTGGGGTGCCAACAGCAGGCAGGATGTCAGCTTGCAGCTTGCTCACACATTCGGTAGAAGGGCTCCATCCACTGGATGGACAACAGAAGGAGGTTTCGGTTGTTGACCCTGAAATTGGACAGGCTGGTCAGGATGCAAACCCTGGCTTCCCTCCCTTACAAGCTAGGTGACCTTAGGCAAGTCACTTAAGGTCTTTGGATCCTAACTTCCACAGCTGTCCTGAGGTATCAGATGGGTCCGTGTGAATGAGGGTGTTTTGTAAGGTTATATGCAGATGTCCAGCGCTAATTCTAAAAGGGACGCAGAGTTAGAAGCGCCGTTGCAGGTAGGTGGGAACAGTCAGGGAAGGCTTCCATGGCTTGGAAGTGAGGGTGCGATCGCTGGGGCGGAGGGTGAGGGACCGGGTGCAGTCCGTGGTGGAGGCCTGTCTGAGGAGCGTGGCGGCAGCTCTCGTGGCCTCCGACCGCCGAGCATCTTTAACACCTAGACGGTGGACCCCGTGACGGCAGCTTCTTTTACCCTTCCCTCTGGCCCTGTGTAAACACTGACCCGCAGGCCTGGGGGGAGCAGGGCTGAAGTTCCCCCACATTGCCCTAGCCCTGCGGCCCTCACGTTGGGGTTCTCCAGAGGGCACGTTCGCCAGACACCGTGCCCCTCAGTGAGTGTGTCCAAGAGCCGCCTCCAAGCCTGCTGCACCAGACTCTCTCTGGTCCCCGATGCTACTCAGCGTTGCCAGGAGTGAGCTCAGTCCAGACTTCTCTAGATCCCTCAGCCCATGGGCCCGCAAGACTCTGAGCAGCAGGGTCTTTTGTCTCTAAGCGATCACTCCTTGTGGTACAAGCAGGAGCTAGGAGGGGGAGTGGTGTGGTATCATCCCCACAGATATCCGTGGGGCCTGGAGGCCTGCGGGGAAGGGCCAGGCTGAGGCTGGCATATGGAGGGACAGCCCTGGGCACAGGGGCATGAGCCTCACCCGGCCAGGGCTACCTTCTGCCGGCTTTGTCCATCTGGCACCAGCTGGCTTTCCAGCGCTGCCCCCACAACCCACCGTACTCCTCCTGCTGCCGTTGCCATAGCAATTGGCTGCCATCTTGTACTCAGGGCAGTACCTCCTGTCTGGATCTTCCCATGGGGTTCCCGGAGGATGGGAGATAGGTCTCCAGGGATGGATCCCTTCCTCCTGCTAGCCGTCCCATAAAAATTAATGTTAACATATGATTTTTTAAAAATAGCCAAGATGGAGGCCAGCGGTATGTCAGGCTCTGTGCCGAATGCTCCCCGTGTGTTATGTAATATGGCCGAGGAAGCACTCACGTGATCAATGGAAACGGTTCCCACCCAGTTTCTTATTTCTGTGATGGGCTTTTCCTCTCTCCAGCCAGGAGATTCCATGATCCTGCCCATTCCTGTCTTGGGAAGTCCTTGCCAGTGTCTGGCCCTGATGTGTGCCCAAGCACCTGTTCTTCGACCCTTGGCTTGACATGACTACTTTGAGAAGTGAGGAACACACTGCCACACAGATGCAGTCACTTCATTGGGCTTCCTGGACTCCAGCTGTTGGCACTTGGCCAGCTTGGTGAGGTCCTGGAGCCCCTTCGAGACTTGGGGACCCAAGTCTAAGATCTGTTGTTTAGAGGGGCGCCCGGCCGGCTCAGTCCGTAGAACGTGTGGCTCTCAATCTCAGGGTCATGAGTTCAAGCCCCACGTTGGGCGTGGAGCCTACTTACAATAATAATAATAATAATAATAATAATAATAATAATAATAATAATAAATAAATAAATAAAATCTTGCTTAGACAAGGGGAGTCTGTGTCACAAAATGCTTTGAAATTCCCCTTGCCCCCATCCCCACCCAAAGAGAGAAGCCCGAACCAGAGGCCACTGGAAAGTGATAGTGTCCCAGGCCCTCAGGGTTGGTGGGGGGGTCCCCTAGGAAGGCAGTCTCCCTGCTCCCAGCATTCGGGAGGTTCTGACAGGGTCCCTGAGAGATCCTGAGATGGTGAGGACTCCCTCCCTCTGGAGCTCAAGCAGAAGGCAGAGGATGGTCACCTTGACCCAGAGGGGCATCCCGAAGGGGCACTGAGCAGGGTCTAGCTTTGCCGGGGGAATCCTGAATGAGGGGCAGGTGGAGAGAGAGAAAGGAGGCCATTCTCCACTGAGGCAGGGTGGGCTGGCAGGGAGGGGCTGGGGATGATTTACGACATCATTGTTTCCCCGCCCCCCACTACTGGACGGTTGCTAGGAGATGCTGGCTATCTGTGTCTGGGCGGGAGGGTGAGGCTGCTCCATCTGGACCCCTCCTCCCCTCCTCTGAGCTTCACCCATTACCCCTCCCCAGACCCCGACACACCTTCCCTTCTGTTGGCCCCCAAATCCAGCCAGCCTGGGGCTCATGGGGCTCCCAGGCCGGCTGAGGATCTGGGACCAGGAAGCCAACCGGGAGCCCTGGAGGGAGAGGCCAGCAGACTCAGCTGGGGTGCTGAGGAGTGGCCGGCTCACCTCAGGGCCTCTGGGAGCCAGGGCAGGATGAGGGCCAAGGGAAGTCGGGGCCTCGAGGAACCCAGGTTTGAGGTAGACTGAGTCCAGTGTGATGGGTGAGGCAGACCCCAATCACACCCCTCCACAGTACAGCCCAAGTCAAGGTTAGCGGGCTGTAAAGGCCAGGTTTGGGGTCATGGGGTGGAGAACTGAGGGCAGGGGAGAATAAGGCTGGACCATCTGATCTGAGCAGAGGTACGCCGTGTCGGGGCATGGCTCAGATCCCTTCCTCTTCCGGAGATTCTCTCTTCAGATTTCAAAGCCCTTGGAGAAGTCAGATGGGTGAACTTTAGGGACTCCTAAAGCTGCTGGCTCCCAAGTCCTGCGGGGAAGGAGAGGGACGCGTGCCCACAGAGGTGCTCCTGATACCAGAGCCCACCTGGATTCGGCACCCGCTTGCTCATGCGAGCCCCCTCTCTCAGCCATGTTCTCCATCAGTCTTCCAACAGGCCTGGAAACTGGCTTGTACTGTCCTGCACTTTGTAAAGGGGCAGTCAAGGCCTGACAAAGGACATGTGACTTGCCCAGAGTCAGGGGTTAGTAAGCTGGGCCTGGGGCTTCAGATGAGGCCTGGTGGGTCCTCTGCACACGCTGCCTCCCTCCCCTGTGGCTCCCGCAGAACAAGTTCCTAACACACTGGGAGCGACTGAGGGGCAGGAGCAGATGGGCGGGGGCCTAGCAGACCATGTTCAGGTACGAAGCCGGAGGGATGCTAACACCGTCCTTGTGGGTGAAGACAGGACCGGGGAAGAGGCTACAGTTGCTGCAGAAGCCACTGGAATCCTCCCAGGTTGGTCCCCGGCCAAGGGAAGCATGTTCCCCACCTTCGGCCAAGTCCCCTGGGCCACCGCCTCATCTCTCACCTGCTGGGGATCTGAGTTCCCCGTCCTGTCATGGCCCTGGGTAGAGCTCCTGGAAGAGATGCCTAGACTCAGCCCTTTATCATGGAGCCTTCCAGCCCTTGCCTTTCTGGTGGAGGGGAGCCCCAAGGGCCGCTGGACGAACTCCCCGGAATTCTGTCCTCTGCCTCCTGCCAAGGTCTCCATCCAAAGAGAAGCTTCTTCACTCTTGACACTTCTTTTCAGACCAAAAGAAGGACCTATTTCACCCAGTTGGTGTGGCGCCCTCTGAGAAGCCCTCCTGGACTGACCCAAGATGAGGCTACACTCTAGCAATTGGCTGGCTGCTCCAGGAGGCCCCTGAGCAGGATGGAAGTGGCCAGGCCCTGGCTCCAGCCTGGGCTGCCTGTCCCCCCTGGAGCCAGCGGGGAGACTTCTTTCCACCATGCTCCCGTGTCTGCAGCTGTCCACCTGGCCCATCCCGATCCCTCCTATGTCGTCTGAGCTGACAGTCCTGAGATGGAGGTCCCATCTCATGTCTAATAAAGACTCCTGAATGCTGAACCAGTCCTGGTGGTCGTGATATACCTGGGCAGGGCTGGGAGGGGAGGGCTCCCCAAGAGATCCTTGCTGTGGGGGCCACCGTTGCAGCAGAAGAGGGAAGCCTCGGGAAGACACAGATCTCACCTGTGGGGGTGGGGTGGGGACTAGAGACTTCTTTGGCTGCTTCCACCTCTCCCAGCGGCCCCAAGGCTCCGGGCAATGCCACCCAGGCTCTGGCCAGTCCTAACTCAGAGCGATGGGCAGATGCTCCCAGCTGAGGAGCTACCACCGCAAGGACCAAGAGAGTGGGAGAGGCTGGGCTTGCTGCCCAGAGAGTCTGTGCCAGGGGTCCCTGGGTGGCCCTCTGTCCCTCCACAAAGGGGCCCTTCTTCACAAACGTCCTCCTGTGTTTGAACAAATCACAGAGAAAGAGCACCCACTCTGCTTCCTCTGCCCCTCCTCAGTAGACACAGAAGGGGAGGAATATACTTAGCAAAAGGGACTCAGGTTAGACAGCAGGTAGGACTTCCCAACAAGACCTTGGTGGGAACCTGAGGGCAGGGGACCCTCAGTAGAAAGGAGTTGGGACTGTGCTCTTGACCCCATTTCCCCCATGATGTGTCTATATCCAATGTGCTCCCCCAAAAGATGGGCCCCTCTCAGTCTACAGAGCTCCTCCTATAAAGCGTTAGAGTCCAGACTATCAGCACCTTCTGAGATCTCTATCACCCTCTAGGAAGTTCTTCCTCCATCTAACCACAGCCCCTCCATGGAATTATAGTCTGAAACCCGGAATCTTTCTAAATAAAAAGGCTTAAGATAGGAAGCATGGTACACTTCCAACAGCACAAAAGGGAAAGTATGTCTCCTGCCCACCCCGTCCCCAGCCACCCACCTCCTCTCCAAAAGGCAACCACCGGTCCCTGTGTCCTCCCTGAGATACTCCATATGCATGTATGCACATATGTCTACAACCCCCCTTCCATCTCAACACTGACCACAGCATGTTCAGCTTCCTAGACCAGGGCTCCTAGCCTGAGGTCAAGATGAACCTCAGGGGACCCTGGCATCTGCGGAAATTGCATACAGAACCCTGGGTAGGCACCCGGACACTGTTTCCAGGAAGAAGGGACGCATGAAAACCACCTGGCCTAGTCCCGCTCTTCATTGTACAGAGGACATGGACGCCAGAGAGGAGAAGGGCTATGGCCAGGACCCTCAGCATGGTGGAGCCCCCACCCCCGCCCCCGCCCCCACCCCCGCCCGCACGCACCAAGGAGCCCAGGGTCTCCTGCAAGGACGGGGTCTCAGAGGGCTGACCAAGGCCCAGGACGCAGCCAAGAAGAAGCCATTCCATTTGTACCGTGATGTGGCTTATTGAAGAGCCTGAGACTGAGCCTGGGCTCCCCATGCCTGGCCAGCGCTCCTAAGGTTCCCAGCCCTCCTTTCAGGACCCTTCCTGCTGTCTGGCCTTGCAAGGACCCCCCGCAGCACCCCCACCCCCGGGACGGTCTCTGGGGAGGAGGGGTGAATGCAGACAGGGTCTGTGCCTGCGGTCAGCATGAAGGAAGCTGCTGGGGGTCTGCCTACTCGCCGGCCTGAGCATCAGTCTTCACAGCCTCCTTCCCTTCTGGGTTTTGGGGGCCTGGGTGGGGGAAGCAGCCAGTGACTGGGGTCAGCCCTGTGCCTGCACCGGTGGCCCCCCAGCCTGGAAAGGAGGCTCCTGGTGCAGGCGCTGGGACAGGCTCTGCACAGGAAGGAAGGGCAGGGCACGGCACAGCGGGTGTGAGAGGGGCCATGGAGGGTGGGCTGCCGTTTGGAAGCAGAAAGACCCAGACCCAGACAGGGGCAGAGGGGTGGGGGCCCTCCCTCGCCGGGATGCCAGCACTGGGCTGGGAGGGGCCAGGCGGGACACTCCGGAATGTGCTCTCAGAGTCCCACTGAGCGTATGCAGATGAGGCCGTCTGTATGCAGATGAGACCGTCTGTATGCAGATGAGGAGAAAGGGCATTCTCTTCCCAGGGTTACCATAGAGCCCAGCCCACCCCCTCCCTCAGGGCCCCAGCTGCAGGGCAGCCTGGGAAGTGGCCCGGCTGGGGAGAGGCAACCTGCCACAGAAGGTTAGACTTCGGGAAGGACTTACCCAAGTAAAATGGGCCGTTCTGGGAAAGGAGCTGGAGAGGAAATGGGTTATGTAGAGGGGCGGCGGGGCAAGCCAGCCAAAAAAGATGGGGGCGGACCATGACAGAACACAGCCAGAGGGGAACAGGCAGGCCGGCAGACAGCTGGGAGCGGGACAGCGAGAGGAAGAGCTTGGACTGGCGGCTGGGCATCCACTTTGTGCCAGGCCCACTGGGTCCCCTCGGCTCCTGCCCGTCGCCCTGTGAGCCTTTCACAGACAGGGAGGACCCCCAGGCTGACGGAAACGTGCAGGACCCCCTGTTTGCAAATGGCAGGGCCCTGGCCTATCCAGCTCCGCAGCAGCTTAGAACCTTCCCCCTCCTTCCAGGCAGGCCGACCCGGGACAGCTCCTCCTACCCTGAGGGAGGGTGAGAGGTGTTCGGGGTCGGAGCTGTGCCTGGCGCAGGGGCCCTGGCTGGGAATTACTGGGAACTGGCAGCAGAGGGTGGGGCGGGCTGCTGGGAGCAGCAGAGAGGACAGATACCAGGAGGGGGACATCAGGGTGGGGAAGGATGCCAGGGTTAACGCAGCGGGGGAAACTGAGGCCAGGAGATTGGGAGGGTTGCCCTCCTCCCTCAGCAGATCCAAGTCCCAGCTGGGCCTGAACCCCAGGGCACCGGGCCCCCAGCCCCTTCCTGGGAGTGCAGAGGCCCGGAGTGGGGGTGTCCTCTTCCTCCGGTGGCCCCCGGCCCCCCACATCCAGTGGTGTAGCCAAGGCCTTTGTGGGGAAGCCGCGGGGAAGAGAGGCCCCTTGTTGGCCTGTTCATCTTGCCGGAGGCTCCACCAATGCCAGCCCCCGGCACCGGCTGGGCTCTCCTTCCTGGGGGTGCCAGTCAGCCCCCACCCACCGCCGCTGCCCACTCCCCAGCTCCTCGTTTCCTGGAGCCTCAGGGCTTTGGCCCAAGTCCCGGCTGGAGGATGGCGGGGAGCCCCAGGCCCAGCACCTCCCGCACCTCCCCTTTCACATACTGGCACCAGAGCCGTGGGAACGCTGGGCGGCAGCTGGGCACTGGTGCCCAGCTCTGCCCACCCCCAGCCCAGCCGACCTCAGAGAGGGGAGAGAGGCAGGCTGCCCCGAAAAAGCCCCTTCAGGATGGGGCCCTAGAAATCCTTAGCACTAATTATGAATCTGGGGACAAACAAGGCATTTGCAAGTCAATTAGTGACAGAACTTTCCCAGGAAAGAGCCTCATCCAGGCTCAGCTTCAGACTGGGCCCCATGCTGGGTCATCTTGTCCCTCCTGTCTCTGCCCTGCTCAGAGCTCAGGCACAGAGGCTGGCCCCATGTTCTGCCAGCCCCTCTGCAGCCGAGGGTGCCAGAACCCGGAGTGGGCAGGAGGCTGGGGGCAAGGCCGTGCTCTGTGGAGGGCAGCCGGGGGTCCCTCCAGCTCTGCCCCCGGGAGGGACGCAGGTTCCACCTGCAGCACGAGCCTGAGGCTCCCGCGCGGGATTGCAGGGGAGCCGGCTGGCCTGGGAGGGCAGGGCTGAGTGGACAGGAAAGGAGACGTCATTGTGAAGGGGGGGCGGGCAGGAGGCAGCCCAAGGGGCTACACCTATGGGAACTTCAGGTGGGCCGGCTGCCATCTGGGGCCACTTCTCACCGGCGGGGAGACAGGGCGGGATGTTGCTCCTCCCAGGCCTGGGAAAGGCGCTCTCTGCCTAGAGGACCCCTTAATTGGGGGAACTGGAGGGGGGAAGGGGCTGTTGGGGCAAAAGCCCTAGAGCCAGCCTCGCTAGCCATCTGAGGGAGATTAAGGGATTACAATTAAAAGGCGTTTGCAGACCGAGCAGGTGGGTTGGGGCTGGTGCTAACGATCTAATTGCCGCCTTACACCAGCACTTTAGCGGGGCTCTAATGAGCAGGGGTGGGTTCTTGGAGGGGCGGGCGGGAAGAGGCGGAGTGCAGGGGCCAGGAGGGGCGGGGCCTCACCCTGAACACCCCAGCCCCAGGGTTACACCACAGAGACCCCCTGCTGCCCTCCCCAAGGACCCAAGATGAGGCAGCATCACAGGGCTTTGGGGGCGCGAGAAGGGTTTTGGGGCCAGGAATGAGCAAAGGGGGTGCTTAGGTCCCGACAGAAAGGAGCCCTTAAGATAGGGGATGGTTAGGGTGAACTCTGTGTCAAGCATTGTACTAAGTACTTTATAAACGTATAATCCTCGCAACCACAGTAAAGCCATGTCCCCCTCAGGATGAGACTCCGGAGCTGGGGGTCCCACCGACCAGGGGCCGCTCCCTTCAGACCCGTCCTTTCCAGGAAGGGACAGAGGGACAAAGCCTCTCCAGACTCTGAGAGAGACCAGGCTGAGGGTCCAAGCGTGCAGGGTGCAGCCCCCGAATCCCTGCTGTGGGGGCCCAGCCTCCTCCCCTGACTCTTGTGCAAAAAGAAACCTGGGCACGGAAGGTGCCACAGAGCTGAGCCCTCGCACATGCTGCTCCGCTTCTGGAGGGCCAGCCCTTCTGCTCCTTTTTTTATTTTTTTAAAGAC